CCATCAAACTATGTTTAATCCTGAAGTATGATGAGTGTGTTCTTGAATTTCCTAGGACCTCAATTCGACCTTCATTTTCCCTCACAGGTATATTCTTGTGCAGCGAGTTAGATGAGGCCAGGCAGACACTAAAGTGCTTCCACCATATTTGCCCATGTCTTTGAGACAGAACGGACTCATAAGACCACGAATCAACCTTTATTGTATCCAAGCAGACAAGATAAGTTGGTGAAAGCACTACGTCAAAACACTGGGATCCTCTGGCAGAATTTTGGTTCTTTGGATGTAAACTTGACCCACTTCTACCATCTGCAACACCAACATACTAAGAAATCTAGCAAAAAAGTATCATTTCTAGAACCCTTTTAATTCACATTTTCTGCCATACCAGGAGGATCATTTAGACTTTGATGCAAACTATCATCAGAGAAATCCTTGAAATGTTGCCACAAACACTCATCATTATTGCACCTTCCACGTAACTCATACATGCAGAGAGACCAAAAAGGGTCCACCTTCAAATTACAGGTGTAGAAGCCAATTTTTTTCTCATATACTGGAGTTTCAGTCAAGCTCCTACATTGTCTTTCATCGTTGTATAGGATATATGACTTGTTTTGTAGTGTATATTCTGGTCCCAGAGACGTTAAGGAAGACCCAGGGACTTTTAGATGATTAATTGTGCTCCGAAATAAAGGGCCTGGCAAAGCTACAGACGATAATAGGTCATCCCCTGGTGAAATCCTATGGGACTCCCTATCTATAGATGATTGAAAATTCAACGAATTTTCCTCGATCGCACCCCGTTCAACTGGTGGTTCAGAGGGACTTCCTTGCAGTTTATGGGCTCCTGGCTCTGAAATTGAATCCAGGAAGATCTGTTACTTAAATGAAAAAAGAGAAGTGAGCACATGGAGACCATGCATTGGTTCTACTTACCTAGAATCACTAATAAAATTAAGCAAAATGGCAATCACTTATAAATTTACTACTTACCTCTAGAATCGTTATGCTGATATTTTTCTGAGACAGGACTACTGTCATCTCTCTGAGTTCGTTCACTTGCAACATCACTTTCATCCCCTCTATCTATCACAGTCTCTCCATGGAAACATGTGCCACCTCTAGATTCTGCCCTCATACCTAGACGCTCAAATAATTTAGATCTTAATGATGCTTCACGAAGCAAAGAATTCTGATTGCCCAGTGTTTGCTCATGATTTTCCGCTTGATGTCCAAGGTTTCCCTCAGTCGATTCGTGGTACACAGGAGATGACTCGCCATCTGGCAAAATGTTTGCATCACTTGAGGGGGAGCATAGTCTACTAACCGTTTGTTTGTTACTGCAAGGTAATCCATCCGAGATACTAGCATCAAGATCACTGCACGGTTCGGAACCCAAATTCTGCCCACTACGAGAACGAGGTAGAGGATGACTGCTACCATATTGATTGTTATATCTGTGGTTGCTTTCTAGCTGAGTATGCTGAGGGATGTCTGTTTTGGTTGCCAAATCAGTGTTTTCAGTATTACTATTCAAGAAGTGAAACCCAGTTCCAGGGTGCTCATGATGTATAGACGGCCACATCAATCTNGAGTCGTTCACAAAGAGAGATCCATACTGAGCAGACAAATTTTCTCTCTTACTGTAAAGTTCTGCACATCTGGCATTTGCTTCGATCAAAGATCTTTGTGCCTTTCTATAAACCTTAAGTGCATTTCTTTCTTCAATTTCACAAAGGTGTCTACGTTCTTGTGCCTCCTCCAACTCTCTGTCAAGAGATTCTTCTAGGCTCGTCAAAGATAGCATACTCGGTTGACTATGGCAAGTAGCAGTTGTATTTCCCGGGATGTTCCAGAGGCCAGAATTGTTCAAACAAGGCTAAATTACAAGCAGAACAAAAAAAAAAAAATCAAAAGTAAGGACCACAAAATCCCACCAGCCACTTCCAACTGCTTATTTAAGGATATAGAAAAAAACCTGACGGTTTCCGTTGACTATTTTAAGTAACTGATCACTTGACACGCTATCAACATTTTTCATGGTTTCCAGTTCTTTTGAAGTCATATGAACAGAAATATCTGGCTGGCCATATCTAACACCTTCGTAATGATTTGTTTTGCTCTGGAACAAAAAGAAACACTTAAATTGAGAAAAACACTGGCCTGAAACTAGAAATAGTTAAATAATCTTAGAGTTGATTATTCTAATTGTAGTAAAGGAGAAAATACAAAGAAATGGTGACACGTACTGCATTTTTCTGTAAGACACTGGAGCTTGTATTTCCTTCTACAATATGCTGAGAAATAACAGGCGGATCAATCTCATCACTGTTTCTGTCAAGGTGTTTGCAACTTGCATTTGCATTGATACCTGCAGAAAACATCCCAGTCAGGTGAAACCAGATGTAGGGAAGACACAAAACACTGAATTCTTTAACCAAGATAGAGCCAGTAGCATATTCAACGTTTGCCAATTAGTCTCACCTGGCAGTAGACTTTTACCAATGCTTGGCACTTTCATTGGTGCAGCAGCAGATGCTGGCTCTCTGTAATCAATAACAGGCTGACTTGTGCCAATTCCACTAGTTCTTAAGCGTTTCTTGGCAGGTTCATATAGTTCTACCTCTTTACCATCATCAGAAACCACACTGAGTCTCCTTGTTGGACTGATTTTTGGATTAACAGCATCTTTCTTTGGCTGTGCAGCCTTAAGCTTCAGCTCACTTTCCCGCAGTGCAATCTGCTGCTTCAAATCCTGAAGTTTGTTGCGATTGGGCTCCACTTTCTGTTCAGGACGCGGTGTATCTTTGCTAACCTTCCTTTGAAAGGTATGACTATTTTTATTGGATTTCATTGCATTGGCAAATGAAAGGTTGGAAACTTTGGAAGTCGCAGCCTGGCTAAAGGTGCTAGTGGACGATGCCTTCTTTGTTATTGCTCTGTTATCTATTTGTCTTGGTCCTTTCAACTTTGTTTGTATTAACGTAGACGGGTTTCTATTCCCAGACATGGTTCCCTTTGCTTGAATCTCCGATGTCTGTGTACGTCCTTTAGTATCAGATTCGCTACCAGTATCATCATCAGAGAAGTTTATCACAAGATTGTTGTTGTTGTTGCTCCTAACGGGAAATTTCTTCCCATGAATCGCAGTAACAGATACCGCTTGCTTCTTCTCAATTATCCGGCCTCCAGGATGGGTCAGCTTCGACGGTGTAGCACCAGCAGGTTTAATTAACGATCTACTATTTCCTGAAAAGTAAAAGACGAATTAGTTTGTTTCATAGGCAACTTCCATTGAGAACAGTTTCAAACAAGTTCAAC